AGCGGCTTGGGTCCTTTTCACATTGTATCACCATCACGCTGGCTTTTCTGCCTCCCTCTTCCATTCTCTTTTCTATCATGGCGAAATGCACATAAAATGTATCAACGTCATCATTTTTAAGTGCACAGTTCTGTGGCATTACGGACATTCACACTGTTGTCCTAGCAACACCACCATCCATCCACACAAAGCTTCATGTTGCCAAACTAAACCTCTGCTCGTGAGACACTAATTCCCTCTCCTCCTGGGCCTTGGCAACCAACTTTCTACTTTATGTTTCTATGATGTTGACTACTTTGGAGACTTCCTATTAGTGGAATCATACAGTATTTGTCCTTTGGTTGCTGGCTTATTTCACTTGGCAGAATGTCCTCACGGTTCTTCCATGTTGTCGCACATGTCAGAATCCCCTTCTTTTTTAAGGCTGCATAATATTCCATGGTATGTGTCTACCGTGCATCATTAATCCATCCATCTGTTGATGGACGCTTGAGTGGCTTCCACCTTTTTGGCTTTTGTGATTAATGCTGCTATGGACATGGGTGTATAAGTATCTCTTCAAGATCCTGCTTTCAGTTCTTTTAGGTATATACTCAGAAGTGGAATTGCTGGATCGTCGGGTTGTTCTATTTTTAACTCTTTGAGGAACTGCTGTACGTTGTTCACAGTGACTGCACCATTCATTCCCACCAACAGTGCACAAGGGGTCCAATCCTCCCACATCCTCACTGACACTTATTATCTCGTGTCTTTTTGATACCAGCCATTCTAAAAAAAATGAGGTGATATCTCATTGTGGTTTTGACTTGCGTTTCCCTAATGATTCTGATATTGAGCATCTTTTCATGTGCCTGTCGATCATTTGTATGTCTTCTTTGGGAAAATATCTATTCAGGTCCCCTGCCCATTTATTAATTGGACTATTTGGTTTCTTTTGCTCTTGAGTTCTCTGTGTTCCTTATGTAATTTGGATATTAACCCTTTACCAGATATATGGTTTGCAAATATTTTCTCCCATTCTGTAGGTGACCTTGCCATCTTGCTGATTGTTTCCTTTGCGGCACAGAAGCTTTTTCGTTTTATGTAGTCCCACTTATTTATTTCTACTTGTGTTGCTCACGATTTGGGTGTCATAGTCAAAAAATTGTTGCCAAGACCAATGCCAAGGAACTTTATTTCTGTTTTCTTCCTTAGAGTGTTATGATTTCAGGTCTTATATTTAAGTCTAATTCATTTCAAGTTAATTTTTTTTAAAGTAGTCTCCACACCCAACATGGGAATTGAACTCATGACCTCACGAATTGCATGCTGTACTGGCTGAGCTAGCCAGGTACCCCTCAAATTAATTTTTGTGATTGGTGTAAGATAGGGGTCCAATGTCATTCTTTTGCATTTGAGTTTCCAATTTTTCCAACATTCATTGTAGAGACGGTTCTTCCCTCATTGCATATTCTTGGCTCCCTTGTCAAATATTAATTGTATGTGCATGGGTTTATTTCTGGGCTCTTAATTCTGTTCCATTGGTCTATGTGCCAGCGTCATGCTGTTTTGGTTGCTATAGCTTTGTAGTACATTTTGAAATCATGAAGTGCCTCCAGCTTTGTTCTTTCTCAGGATTGCTTTGGCTATTTGAGTTCTTTTGTTGTTCCATATAAATTTCAGGATTATTTTTTCTGTTTCTGTGAAAAATGCCATTGGAATTCTGATAGTGATTATGTTGATCAAGAGGTGGCTTTGGGTAGTATGGACATCTTAACAATATTCTTCTGATCCATGAACATGGGATATCTTTCCATTTTTTTTTTTTTTCCAATTTCTTTCATCAGTGTCATTTAACTTTCAGTGTACAGATCTATCACACACTTGGTTAATTTATTCCTAAGTATTTTATTTTTTTTATGCTACTGTAAATGGGATTATCTCTTTTTCAGATAGTTTGCTGTTAGTGTATAGAAACACAACTGATTTTTGTGTGCTGATTTTGTATGCTGCACCTTTACTGAATTCATTGATTAAGTCTAACCATTTTTTGGTTGAGTCCTTAGGATTTTTTTTTAAGACGTATTTATTTATTTTAGAGAGACAGAGAGAGCGTGCATGAGTGGGGGGAAAGACAGAGGGAGAGGGAGGGAAGCAGACTCCCCACTGAGTGTGGAGCCCGACGCAGGGCTCCATCGCATGACCCTGAGATCATGACCTGAGCCAAATCAATAGTCGATGCTTAACTGACTGAGCCATCCAGGTGCCCCACGGAGTCCTTAGGATATTCTATATATAAGATCATATTATTGCAAACAGAGACAATTTTACTTCTTCCTTTTTTATTTGAATGTCTTTTATTTATTTTTACTGCCTGATTGCTCTGGCAAGCATTTTCAGTACTGTGTTGAATAGGAGTGGTAAGAGTGGGCACCCTTGTCTTGCTCCTGGTTGCAGAAGAAAAGCTTTCAGTTTTTCACTGTTGAGTATGATGCTAGCTGTGGGCTTGTCATATCTGGCTTCTATTAATGTTGAGGTATATTCCTTCTATACCTAATTGGTTGGAGTTTTTGTCATGAAAGGATGTTGAATTTTGTCAGATGCTTTTTTTTGCATCTGTCGAGGTGATCACATGTGATTTGCATGTGTGAAACCATCCTTGTATCCCAGGGATAAATCCAACTTGATCATGTTGTATGATCTTTTTCATGTACTGTTGAATTTGGTTTGCTAGTATTTTCTTGAGAATTTTTACATTTACACTCATCAGGTATATCAGCCTGTAGTTTTCTTGTCTGGTAGTATGTTTACCTGGCTATAAGAGGATCAGGGTAACACTGGCCTCATAAAATGAGTTTGGGAGTGTTCCCTCTTCTTCGGTTCTTTGGAAGAGTTTGAGAAGGATTGGGTATTGATTCTTCTTTAAATATTTGGTAGAATTCACCAGTGAAACCATCTGGTCCTGGGCTTTGCTTTTCTTTTCAAAACCTGAGAAGTTTTTGATTACTGATTCAATCTTACTCATTATTGGTCTATTCAGATTTTCTTTTTTGTCATGATTCAGTCTTGGTAGGTTATATGTTTCTAGGAATTTATCCATTTCTTCTAGGTTATCCAATTTATTGGTATATAATTGTTCATAGTAGCCTCTTAAGATCCTTTGTATTTCTTTGGTGTCCGTTGTAATGTCTCCTTTTCATATCTAATTTTGTTTGAGTTTTTTCTCTTAGTCTAGCTAAAGGTTTGTCAATTTTGTTTATCTTTTCTAAAAACCAGCTTAGTTTCATTTATCTTTTCTATTGTTTTCTGGTCTCTCATTTATTTCTGCTCTGATCTTTGTTATTTCCTTCCTTCTTCTAATTTTGGGCTTAGTTTATTCTTTTTCTAGTTCCTCGAGTTTGTTTATTTGGGATCTTTCTTTTTCTTAATGTAGGTGTTCATTGCTATAAAGTTCCCTCTTAGAACTGCTTTTGTTGTACCCCATAACTTTTGGTATGTTGTATTTCCGTTTTTGTTTGTTTCCAGATATTTTTGACTTCCATTTTGATTTCCTCTTTGACCATTGGTTGTTCAGGAGTGTGTTGTTCAATTTCCACATATTCGTGGATTTTTCCAGTTTTCCTCCTACTGTTGATTTCTAGTTTCATACCATTGTGGTTGGAGAAGACACTTGGTATGATTTCAATCTTCTTAAATTATGAAACTTGTTTTGTGTGTAATTTACTTTGAAATGCATCAAAAATAAGATGGATTATTGAATAGATAAAGGAATGTATAGCTGGACAGATGTGTGATAAAGAAAGATAGTAAATTTTTTTTTTTTTTTAAGATTTATTTATTTGAGAGAGAGAGAAGAGCATGGGGGAGAGAACACCAGTGGGGGGGAGGGACAGAGGGAGAGGGAGAAGCAGACTCCCCGCTGAGCAAGGAGACCTACACGGGGTTCCATCACGACCCTGGGATCATGATCTGAGCTGAAGGCAGACGCTTAACTGACTGAGCCACCCAGGTGCCCCAGTAAATGTTAGGGGTAGAATAACCATGCATCCCTGGCTGTTCATTGTCTTATTCCTCATCTTTATGTTTGAAAATTCTCATAATAAAATGTTTGAAAAAAATTTGGGTAATGCCATTCCCCAGAGAGAGCCAATCCTTCATTCATTTATATACAGATATACATATGCCAGGGATTCTTAACTGGACATAGTTTAGCCCCCAGGGGACACTAGGTGATGTCCAGAGACATTTTTGATTGTCACGACGGCGTGGTGCTGCTGGCATCCAGTGGGTAGAGGCCAGGGATGATATTAAATATCCTCCAATGCAGAGGACAGCCCCCACAACAAAGAATGATTTAGCCAAATGTCAATAGTGCTGAGGTTGAGAAACCCTGACATATATATCTGAGTATCTGAATATATGTATCCATTCATATAAATGTATACATATGCATATTTGATGCTCACTTATATTTTAAACAAAATTGAACTCATGGTTTTGTAACCTGTGTTTTCACAACATGTTGTCATTTCCCCAGGTAATTAATTGCCTTTAACGTTATCATATTTTAATGGCGATTGTAGATGTGTATGCTGTGATTTATTGCACCCAGCTCTGGGCATTTTTAGGTGGCTGGCTGATCTATAATGTGCCTCAGTGGAATTTGAGTCTTTCCTGTCAGACCCATCTCTTCTGTGTTGTGAAGATCTCTTCAGGGAAGACGTGTTGGTCGCCCTTGGGACCACCTTGGGTGTCAACATTCTTAGTGACTGGAGCACTTGTTCTGGGGTCGTCTAAGGGTTGTCCTCTCTCCTTTGGGTGTTTTTTCCCCAGAGGCTGTGACAAGCACAGGCGGCAGTCAGCAGTGTGGTATCTCACTAGCCCTGGGTCAGCGTTGGGCGGCCCACGCTGTGGATCTGGGTTGGGAACAGAGAGCCATGTGCCCCCTCCCCTGGCCCAAATTCTGCTGAGTTCCTAAGGACCCAACTTGACTTGGCCTGTGTCTTTTTTCAAATACAGGTCTCCCCTTCTGATGAAAAGAGAACAGAAGAATGGACTACAGTCACCAAACCTCTCTAGTCCCGTGCGGACAAGATAAATACATCTCCAAGTAAGATTTTTGGCTTTTATTTTTTTTTTAATTTTTTTAATTTTTTAAAGATTTTTATTTATTTATTCATGAGAGGCAGAGAGAGAGAGAGGCAGAGGGAGAAGCAGGCTCCCAAGGAGCAGAGAGCCCGATGTGGGACTCGATCCCAGGACCCTGGGATCATGACCTGAGCCAAAGGCAGACGCTCAACCATCTGAGCCACCCAGGCGCCCCAAGATTTTTGGCTTTTAGTGTTGTGTCCCCAGTGGCCAGTCCCACGTGGATGGAAACCCCTTCTGTCCATGGGTGGCAGGGGCTCCTGTGTGTGGGAAGAAGGGAAGCAGCTGAGTGTGAACGAGTGAGAGCACAGCAAGGTTGGTGCTCTAGATAAAAACATGGCCCCGGAGCCTGGCCACAGACAGCGAAGTAAAGGGGACCTTCAAGACACAGCACCTTTGGGGGTTCAAGAGAGATGGTGTCCTGGAAGGGGGAATTAATGGTGGCTGCCCCCTGAGCTGTCTGTGGTGTCCCCTGAGGGAGTCCCCGCTGGGTGGTGTCCCTGTGCTGCTGGGGTTCTGACCAGAATAGGCACAGGTGCCCCCTGAACAGAAAGGGACAGTTTCATTGCTTTATATGCACTAAAATCTCTTGAGCTCAGATTTTTTGCTAATGTGAGCCAAAATGGACTTTTTCAAATGATAAGTTTGAGGATATATTTTTATATCCAGCACAGGGCTTTGTTCATACTGAATGCTCTCTATCTGAACTAAATGCTTAACTTATCTGGGACCAGATTGTTTTAATTCCTTTACACATATTTGGCCACATACAGACACGCAGTTGTGTGAACTATGGATCATTCTTATCGATTCATTGAGGGATTTCTCCAGGGACCTCGACTGGCCAGTAATTTTAGATCTCTGTGCTCAAAAGAAAGTACCCAGCAGCTTTTTGTGTTAGGTTATTTGGAGTCACATTTTTCACTAATTCATTTAGGCTTGCATAGAATGACTCCGGTTTTTCTAGGTTTAACTTGTCAGGAGCTTCTTGGACTTTCAAGGCAGCTTTGACCTCTGGTGTGGCCCCAAATCGCTCCATTGAATGGCTGCATTCAGAGAGACCAAACTCCACAGCCTCTTGCCTGAGTACAGGCAAAAGCACAGGGCGATGTCTTCAAGCCCCTCCTTTGCAAGTCAAAAAAAATTTTTTAAGTTTATTTATTTAAGTAAGCACCCAACATGGGGCTTGAACTTACGACCCTTGAGATCAAGAGTCACACGCCCCTCCCACTGAGCCAGCCAGGCGCCCCCCCAAATTTGTTTTAAATAAACTGAAAGCACTTAAAATAGAATAAAAAGATAAAAGCTTGTAGAACAGAATATTGCTAGGGCCCAGAATCCCCTCCTGCCCCCTTGTGGTCCCTGCTCCCCAAGGTGAACTGCTATCCTGAATTCTAACATCCATTTTGAACTTTATATAAGTGGAATCATACAATACGTGGCCTTTGGTGTCAGGCTTCTTCTACTCAACATAATATCTGTGAGATTCATCCATGTTGTGTGTGGCTCATTCATGTTCTTGTTGCTACGTAATATTCCACTGTATGACCACAGCTCCCTTTATTCATCCTCTCCACTGTGGATGGGAGTTTGTAAGTTTTTAAACACACCATAAAGTCATGTCTATCACTCATAAGTCAGTGGGTCCATACCTGTCCCTTTTGACTTTCTGAAAAGCCTAGAAGTTTCTGAGTCTCATGAAAGCCTGTCGCGATTGTCCTGTTCTAACTCATAGCAGAGGTGAGGGAGAAAAGACAGTGGACAGACACCCAGACTTAGATGGCTGAAGGCCGGGTTAGAGGTGAGAAAAAAGGGAACAGGTGCATTATAAGTGGCTTCAGCTGAGACTGTCACACCTTTTGTATTTTGCCCTAAGGAATGAACTTCTCCTGCATCTGAAGACCTACAATTTGTACTACGAAGGCCAGAATTTGCAGCTCCGACACCGAGAGGTAAGGAGTCCCCGGGGAAGGACTGTGGGCCAGCCCAGTCTGTCTCCATGTCTCCAGGGTCTCAAGGTCCCTGCCTCTCCTGCCCACCCCGGGAGTGGCCTCCCATTTAGGATGTTAGCGGGAGTCCCTGGAGTTCTTTGGAAGGAGACCCCAGGCTCATTTTGTTCTAAAGAGGATGAGCTTTTCTGTTCCAGAGGCATTCCTGGGGATGGATGTGAGGCTGGGCTAGCATCTGCTTCAGAGGGGGTCCTCTAAAGGGGGATGTTCATGAAATGGCCCTTTCCCATGGTGCTCAAGCAGGCTGCTTCTTCTCGGGCAATTCAGGAAACTTCCCCAGTCTTCTGTGTTTACACATCTGGGCCCACATCTGATTGCTGCAGCAACTGGGCAAGCCGCATCAGCTCTGCCTGGAAATGCTTGGCCCTTCCCCACAACTGCAGTGGTCTTCCTAGGGTGCCTTGTTGGGATGCGCTTTGCTCTCCATCCGGCTTCCCCCAGCCCGAATCTTAGCTTACTCATCCCGTATCCATTTCCGTAAAGCCTGTTATCAGGAGATGGTGAGTTTTGTAGGAGCCAGGTAGAGTAATTTATACTCAAGTGTTCTAGACTGATAAGATATGTGTAATACCCTTCTAAACACATTTTCAGGTTATCAAGCCATGGCAATTCAATCCATAGAAACAGATACCAGATGGTATAATTTCAGCTGCGAAGGCAGGCTGGTTGGGGAGAGTATGTGAGATGCAGTGGCTTTTTCTGTGTCCCTCAAACCAGTCCATGTAGGAAAAGTCCTACTTTGCATTAAATCCTGTCCTAAAATCATGCGATATGACAGTAGCTAGAAGGCCCTCTGTACAGCCTATTCTTACATAAAGCCTTTCCCCCCAAGACCCCCACCTGCCTGCCTGAAAGTTGTTCTACTCCTCTCCTGCTTCTTTTGTTCTCCCCTCCTCTCTGGCGATGATCCTGGGATCCGGGTCAGTTGTTCATTGGACAGGTGTCCTCTTCATCCCTGTGGCTCATCCTGAAGACATGGCCGTGGCCCAGGTCTGACAGCTGTGGGGTTTTCTGAGACTTGAGAAAGAAGGCCTGACCCTTTTAGGCATTGTCCTTAAAGCTTCTAGTGAGTGGCTGGGCCATTCACAAGATTTTGGTCCTTGGACAGCTTTTCTGTGGTGCGTCTTATAGAATAAATTCTCAGAGTGCTCTATGATTAAATAGAGACTCATAATAAATGAGACTCAGTTCTTTGAGACAAAACACACGGGAAGCCCTTAGAAGGGTCTGAGGTTTAACTTGTTAACAGTCAACAACCCTTGAGTATAAATTTGGAATTATCGGAGGATTAATTCACCTCTTGGAGAGCTGCAATGTAGCACACTAGCTAATTTAAAGCTCTGGGAAGTTCTGCTGGTAAGAAGTCTGATTAACATATCATCTCCCAACTCATGATCACCCAACACCCTTTTTAAGGTAACCTGCGAGAGGAGTTGACCTGTGAGAGGAGCTAGTATTCGGTAGAATAAACTTGGGGAAATGTTACTTTAAATCTCCTTCAACCAGCAGGTCAGATTGCTAAACATATATCATAGCTAAAGACTTCCCGTGGTAGGGGAGGGGAAAGTAGCTAATTCAAGAATCTAGTTCTGGCTTCTGTTAGTAAGGCCCGTCTCAGTTACTCTAAGAGATGTCTTCTTCTTTCTTTAAAGTATAAAAACAAAAAAACCCCATTTTTATCATTTACACACATGTACTTGAGTTTTGAGGCAACTTTTGTGTTGACCTATGAGGTCATCTTCAGGGCGTAGCTTGTGGTGGGGTGTGTCTCGAGGCGGGGGCGCAGGTGTAACTTGCGCCCCGCCAGGGCCCGTCAAGGGCGCTGTCCGCTGTCCCCCAGCGTGTTGCTGGCTTCTGCGGGGTTTTCTGGTCCAGCTCACCGTGCCAATTGCTTTGTGGGCAGGAGGAAGATGAGTTCATCGTGGAGGGGCTGCTGAACATCTCCTGGGGGCTGCGTCGGCCCATCCGTCTGCAGATGCAGGATGACAACGAGCGCATTCGCCCTCCACCATCCTCTTCCTCCTGGCACTCTGGCTGTAACTTGGGGGCTCAGGGGTGAGTGAGGAGAGATGGGACTGTGGCGACCGGGAGTGTCTGGGGGTTCTGTTCTTAAGTGTTCTTGAGCAGACAAATGCCACCTTCTTCCAGCAAGCCTTGACTCCAGCTCCCATTCTCCCCACCTGCACTGCGCACCTGTTCTGGGCTTAGGAGGAGGAGGAAGGAGCAGATGTTGGTGTGATGGGGCCACCGTGCCTGTCACCACATCACTGGGTGAGAGTCAGAGGGGAGAAATGCCAAGGCCTGGTTGCAGTGTGTCCTCCCTCATGGAGAATTCCTGAGTCTCTGAGGGGTATCGCTCGTGACCAGCTGGGCCTAGCCTGCAGATTTCTGATGGGACGCCTGGTGCCCCAGCACTTCCCCATGGGGACCACTCCTCATAGAATGACCCTGCTCTGGAGACACCAAGGGCTCGAACCTTCTCTCCAAAGCTCTCCATGACTTGGGGGAACCTGGAAGAAGGAAAGGAACATCAGGCTGTGTTCAAACCAGTCCCACGAGGTCAGCTAGGGGGCTGCTTCCTTCAGGCCACACCCGGAGCTGGGTGACCGCGTGACAGTCAGCAGTCTGGGAGGCTCCCTCCTCCGGGGTCCCATTGGAAGGTCTGCGAAGCCCATGCCTATTTGTCCCCTCCCTCTGCTACCAGCTGAGTAGCCAAGTGCATGTAGACATGCCCACCCTCTGCTGGGACTTCCTTCCGGGACTTTGGTTCTTGGTATCAAGTGACTGACTAGCCGTGTTCATCTCGAAACTTGCTGGTGCTGCAAGGCCAGAGTGTGGGTAGCGTGTGTTGACCTCTCAGCCAAAACCACAGTGATGTGTTTTCTGTTTTCAACCAGAACCAAGCCCTCTCTGTTGGACACGCTGGACATTCTGTTAAACTCTGCAGCCAAATCCATCTTTCTCGAAAGTTGGGAGACACCTACACTGTGGCCAAATGCTGATCTGCTTTCTTTCCCAGGGAATTTTAGGAGGGAAGTCCTTGCCCATCCCATCAGACGCTGGAATGTCTGGTCAAGGTTCTCTGGCTTCATCTCCTTGGCTGGTTTCCCGCTCTACTTTGATTTCAGCCCTTTTTTGCCATCTTGGATTTCCTGTGGGCCAAACCCTTTCCACAGCTGCATCCCAATGACGCCCGATTCTGCTCCATTCCGTCCCCTACGTGAGAGAATTTTTAGAATGCCATCTGACTGTGTGATTTTTGGCTGAGCCTGCTAAAGGGTCTTTCACTCGGCTCGCTTGTTTCTTCTCCATTCCCTGCAACATCAAGCTGGTCTTGGTTGGTTCTTGAAACCTGCCAGGGCTCTTGAGAGGGTTGTCAGGAACGGTAATTAAGGTTATCCCCGATGCTGGCTAGAATGAAGTGAACACCTGGGCCACTGGGGTAAGAAGTAGGCTGAGACCAGTTTCTGCTTCCGTGAGGGAGTGGGCCGTGGTCGCTGGGAGCACCAGGCACTCACCACTCCTGAGCAGCTCTGACCAGTTCGAGTCTGGGGTCAGAAGTCCAGAGTTAGACCACAGTGGGAAGTTCTTTCAGATTTTCAGTTTCTATTGTCTTCCCTTAAAACTGTCATCCCTGGACTGTAAGTCCCATCTCTACTGGGTCCCAGGGAGCCCACGCTCTTCTCACTATGGGATGGTCCTAACTGGTTAAGTGTGATTTTCCTTTCTGGTCAAATCTCCTGTTGATTTTGGGTGTGCCTCTCTGAGCTGCTGTCATTATCCTTTGGGGCTTATAGGGGAGTCTTTTGCCAGTTACCCAGGACTCTGCTCAGACTGATTTTGTGGGGTCCAGCTTGGCTGAGCATCCTGTCCGGCAACCCCAAGAACGCTATCATCAGTGGTCCTTCCAACGCTGCTCTGACCTATTACTTCCATTCCTTTAGATACCAGAAGCAATTTCTGAGTTACTCTTCCAACAGGAAAGGATCTGAACTGGAATCTTATCTGGAGAAACAAATGTCCATTATTAGAGCTATCGAACCTGTACATGCTCAGAAACTCAGTGCACACAATGCCCAGATTTTGTCCTTTGGTGTTCTCCATCCTGGGCTTGATGAATTGGGTGCTTGTGTTGCTGCAGATGCTGGGAAAGAGCATCTTCTCCTCCAGAATACCCCCTCCCCACCCTGTGCTCAGCCCTGGAGCGGGGCCAGCTTCACGGGACACTCCGCACGGGCCGCCCCCACGGGGGTGTGCTTGTCCCCAGCCTAGCACAGGCCAGGTGCTCCCCTTGCAGGAGAGGGAGGGTCCCCCTGCAGGGGCTGAGCCAGTCTCCCTTTTGTGTTCTGTCTCCCCAGCACCATCCTGAAGCCCCTCACCATGCCCAGCATTCAGATCTCAGAAGTGGATGCCCCGCCCGAGAGTGAGCAGACACCGAGCCCCACAGGTACATACATGTGTGGTGGGAAGTGTCCCGCTCTGGGCTCTCCTATGTGAAGACTGATGTGATCTAGATGCTGTAAATTGAATAAATAAAATTCATGTGGTTCAAGATTCGAAGAGTTTTCAAAGGAGCCTATCAGGAGTTCCCCATTTCATCTACCCACCATAGTGGTTCCCTCCCTAGAAAATACTTGAAAGCATGCTTTCTGAGGTCTTCTAGACAGATACAAGCAAATGCACAGCAACATACCTTTATGGTTGGAGGTCATTTCTTTTCTTCCCCTTTTTACATAAGTGGTAGCATTTTGTATATCCCTGTTTCCATTAGTTTGTTTTAAGGACTGTCCCACACAAATCCATAAAGAACTTTGGCATTCTTATCCAGCTCTGCTGCATTCCATTGTGTGGAGAAATGATAGCTGAATCACTCCTCACTGATGGACATTGAAGTCATTCCAGTCCTTTTGCTGTGACAAACAGCAGTTAGTGGCCCTGGACACGTGTCATTTCACACATTTGTCAGTGTCTGTAGGATTCTTTCAAGTGGAATTTCTGGGTCTGAGGCTATGTGCATTTGTAATTTTGATAGATACTGTCAGAAGGCAATCTCTTGCAAGTCCTTATGTCATGCTTCCGCTGTGCCAAGCACTATTCTAAATGCTTTGCGGGAATTAATTCAGTAAACCCTCACAACAATCCTGTGATGTGGGTGCTATTATTATGCCCATTTTATAGATGAGGGAACTGAGGCATGGAGGGGTTAATGAAACATAGCAATGGTAGGGCTGGGGTTTGGCCCTGGGAATCTGGCTCTCAAGCCTCTGCTCTGGAATCTTGTCACTGTATTGCTTCTCAGTAAATTATACCATATGTTTTTCCCCCCGGCAGGAAATACTGTTTTGATGAAACGTATTTTGGGGGAGGCGGCAGCGGGTACCGTAGCCTTGGCCACAAAGAGGGTACTGTGTGCAAACTGCCACATCCCCGGGCCAGGCAGACAGAGCTCATCTCCCCCTCCCCTCTTAGACTCCAGGGGCCTCAAGCCCCTGCAGGAAGACACGCCACAGCTGATGCGCACACGCAGTGATGTTGGCGTGCGTCGCCGTGGCAACGTGAGGACACCCAGTGACCAGAGGCGAATCAGACGCCACCGCTTCTCCATCAATGGCCATTTCTACAACCACAAGGTAGAGAGGATGGGGGGTAGGGGGCAGGGGTTATTCCCGAGTGAATAAGGCCTCTTCTTGGGCAGCGGCCACCTCCAGGCTACAGACAAGTGGGAAGCCAAGTATTTGCCGTTCTGTCTTTGGGTCCTGGGTGGGCTGCAGGCTCTGCCGGCTCTGGGAGGGATGAGGGACCCCAGATCAGGAGCCCCGCCTAGAGGGGTGGGTGAGATGACACCACGAACATCAGAGCCGAACCCCCTCCCCGGGAAGTCCACACGTTACCCTCTTCCTACACCGGCTGCTGCGTGGTCTCACTTTCCTGTGAGCTGGGTGCTGCCCCCTGAAGCAGGGCTGCGGGACGCAAATCAGGGGGTGTCCGTGCACTACCCCCCCCCACCGCTAGCTGACCCTCCTTCCCTCCCGCTGCCTGGTCCGAATCCAGCCCCAGAAGCAAGTGCATCACGGGAGAGGGGTCAGAGACCTTGCTTGAAGTCACAGTGGAAGGGGCCTTGTGCGCGTTTTCTCTGGAGAGAGGGCCTTCCTTATCTGGGCCCATCCCCCTCCCCCACCCTGCCACTTGCCCAGCTCAGACCCCTCCAGCTTCCCGTGGGGACCGTGGGTGGGAGACGAGCTCCCGAGTTAGGCACAGCCCAGGGGTGCCTTGTTGACGTCAAAGCCACTGTCTGCCAGGCTGCTGGGGGCGGGGGGGCTCTCAGAGTGCACGGGGTGAGTGCCCTTTGTCACTGTGCCCTTTACCCCAGGTCACGGGGCTGGGGGACACCTGGGTTTTAGGGCCCAGTTCTTGTCCCCACGGCCACCGTGAGCCGGACCCCTCTATTGACAGACATCGGTGTTCACGCCAGCCTACGGCTCGGTCACCAACGTCCGCATCAACAGCACCATGACCACCCCACAGGTCCTGAAGCTGCTGCTCAACAAATTCAAGGCAAGTTCCCACGCGGGCTGGCCCCGGAGTGGGAAGGGGGACCATGGAGGGTGTGCAGTAAGCGGGGGGGACGCGCTGGGCCGCGGGGCTCGGGGTCTTCCGACCCTGTGACATCAGCATCCCCTGGGAGCTTTAGCAAAGCAGCTTCCCAGGCCCCAGCCCTGAATCAGACCTGCTGAATCTGAAGCCCGAAGGCCAGGGAACCCGCTCAGCAACTGGCAGGCAATTTTGGTGCCGCTGAATTCTGAGGAGCCCCGGCCCTCAGACCCCAGGCCCCAGGCACAGACCTCAGACCCCAGGCACAGACTGACTTTTGAAACACATTTGGGGAACCTACTCTGAAAAATGAACTTCAATACACGTGTAAGTTCTAGTGCATGAGTCCTTAAAGTTCCATTACTCTGTAGGTTTCCCACAATCCCTTTATAAGAAATCTTTTGGAGACAGGGATCCCTATTTTTCACTGGGGCCAGTGTCAGCTGGTGGCCTCTGGGTTCAAATCCCCAGCCATCACCCACTGATTGGAGGAGCCGAGCTAGTGACTTAAGCTCCCTGTGCTTCTGCTTTGTCTTCTGTAAAATGAGGGTTCACAGGACCCCCCATTAAGGGACTGACGGGAGTATGAGATGAGTTAACATGTGCAGAGTGTGTGGCATGGTGCTTGTCAGGGTGCAAGAAATGTTAGTCCTTCTTATGGACTGTTACTGATAAAGTTACCTGCCTGCCCCCTCTCCTCATCCCCTCTGAGAGCTGGAGAGAAATAACTCCCCCTCAGAAGCGCCGAACATCCATTTAGCTTTGCAGCGTCCAGGAAGGAATGGCTCAGAGTTGGGATATGTAAATATGTGCTTTCTTCAAGCATCTCTTGTTTCTGATTCAGATCGAGAATTCCGCAGAGGAGTTTGCTTTGTATGTGGTCCATACCAGCGGTGGTAAGTCTGAAAAACACAGTGTACTTGAAAATGTTTACTTCACTCAAAACGGCAAGTGTAAAAACAAGACCTCTGCCTCATTTGCTTGTTGTTTGGCCTTTGGAAACTTCCAAACGTTGATTGCCTCCGAGACTGGTGGGGTCACTGGCTGAGTCCACTGGGAAATGCCGTATGTGGTCTAGAACCTAACTGCTTATTTAAAAGGCAACCGGATTTTCTCGAGAGGTAGATAAAACCAATTCCTCCAACATAGCATCTTCCAAAGGATTTGGAGGATGGTCATTTTGTCAGGGAGAGCGGGGAGGGAATGGTTGCTTTGAACCAGAACTGTTCATTCACAGTTCAGTCTCCTGACTTACTTGGCCACATCTTCTGAGGTGCCCTAACCCTGAGCTGGCCACTACTTATGGGGAGAAAGGCCTCAGGGCCAAACTCAGGGCTGTTCCTTGCTGGGTGTGGTTCCAGAGAAACAGAAGCTGAAGAACACCGATTACCCTCTGGTTGCCCGAATCCTCCAGGGACCGTGTGAGCAAGTCTCCAAAGTGTTTCTTATGGAGAAGGACCAGGTGGAGGAAGTCACCTACGACGTGAGTCCCCTTTCTGTTGGGCAGTCTCTCCTCAGGAGAGCAGAGATTTGGTTGGGTTACCTGCAACTGGGGTACAGCTTGACTTTCTGGCCAAGGACCATGTCCCATTTTGTTGCCATTCCTCAATAACAGGTTTTCTTCTTTTTTTTA